TTCTCAACATCTTCCCAAGTAAAACGAGTTCTCCACTTCCCACTCAGCAGATGTTTTAACAACAGAAGACAGAAAACAAGACGATCTAGAAGTAAGGTGCCAAGCCAAGGGAACTGGTAGCTGCAGCATTTGCTTTTGGCAGTAAGCAGCACAAACATCATTTGTCTAGTAACACAATGCTATACAAGGTACAGAAGACTTTTCCTGGCACCGTCAGAGAAGCTGGATGTTCTGCAGAGCTCTTTACTTTCCTTAAACACTACATGACCTCCCTGTCTTAGTGCTCAAGTGACCCAACAACCATTTCACCTCTTCAGCACTTGGAGGCATTCACAGTGAATGTGAACACACGCGGCAATGTGAACACACGCGGCAATGTGAACACACGCGGCAATGTGAACACACTACCCCTTGTTTGTTTTCTTACCCGTGGTATGTTTTCTTTAACAGTGAGATTTGTTCTTGGAAATACCGGCACAGCCCATGCATCCCACAGTAGATGTTGTCCTTAGAGGTCACAGGGACAGCATGGGTACCCCAATTCTAGAAAGCATACTTACTTCCAAAGTTCTTTACCCTTTCTCCAGCTTCATCCTGCACTTCCCAGCAGCGTTTCCTAGTCCTCCCTCCCAAGAGCTCTGTCTTCATAGAAGGTGAAGGTCATCTTCCTGAACCATCTGTCCCTGACTTACACAGCCAGAGCCTCTGGTCTTGGCATTCCACAGCTCTGAACCTGTGAAGTCAGAGTACTGAATCAAGGCGACAAGTGCTCAGGCCCCTCTGGCACTACATCCCTCTGCTGCAAGGGTTCTCATGACCATCTCTTGAGTTTGCCCCACACACAAACCCAGATCCAAATAGGAGGTCGCCATGTGTCTCACAACTTCATGTGCAACAGCTTTCTCACAGTAGACTGGGGAGATGGTTCTAAAAATTTGGGATGCACCTTAAGTAGTATGGCCATTCATGGTCATAAGCACACCAGTGCTTCAGATATAAAATTCAGTTTACTAATATGAAATCCCTGATCTCCAGTATTTGAGCTGCAAAAATGATATTGTTAGCTGCTGGAGCCTTCCCCTTTTTTGGGAGAGCCACTAACCAGCAACACTAAATAGCTTTTAACCCCTGAAAAACATTGGCTTTTAACCACTCCATTGATACATTCATATACACACTGTCACATCGCCCAGGCCGTTGGTGCTCCCCTACTTCTCCCACTTGTCAGCTCAGCCAGTTCAGTTTGCAGTTTGCCGTGGTGCTGCAGTGGCCTTACTAGCCAACATTCAAAGGGCTGGTTACTTGCTAAACACTAACGAGTTCCACACGTCAGCAATGCTTAGCTCCCATGCACTGCATGGGAGGGGCTGCTTGGTAGTACAGACTTAGCCTACTGGCTGAGGAGCAATTATCTTCAGGAGCAACGATCCTTTTAAAAGAACAAGTTATTTTCTTTGCTCCCAGGTCTTCAAAAGGGAGGTCTGGCGGTTAAAGAGACGAATAAAGAGGGATATATCACCTGTACCTGTAACTGTCTTTGCATCTTGTTCAATGAATTGTCAAGCCAGGACTTCATTGTCCCCTGAAAGCCTCTCTCTAGGTCAAAACAAACCTTGTGCTTTCAATTTCTTACAGCCATAGATGTCTGACTTTGGAGGAACCTTGTAAGGTTATCTAAGCTGAGTGCCGGGAAAGCTCATCTCTGGAGATGGATCTGCAGCTATTGCGTTCATTTGTTTTTAATCATACTTAAATCACCAGCAAATCTCCAAGTACTCTACGGATACAAAAAGTGTCAACAGTTCCTAGTGCCCTGCTTTGTGATGGTTATTCACCTTTCACACTGACTGAGCTTTGAATGAAAAAACACAGTAAAGTATACACAGAAGTGTAGTCTCCACATACTAGAAATGCCTGTAATTTAGACAGCTATTTCTTCTCAATAAGATAGCTTTTATATTTGCTATTACTGATAAAAAAGCAAGTAACTGTCTCCCCCAAATCACCAGTTAAAAAAAAATATAATCCATTTTTGATTCTTCAAATTGTGATTCTTCAAATGCTGATTTTTCAGAGTTCATTATTTCTCTGCAGCGCTAGGCATTAGGATTCTGTTATTAGTTTAAAGAAAACAGAAAGACTCTTTCAGTATAGGACTCTTAAAATATAAGATGCACAAAAGAAACAGAGCATGAGAAACAGAAAAGAGAAATATAAGAAGAGATAACTAATAAGGCAAGATTCACAGGAAGACTGTGACATTTACCTATCCTGTTGGGACACAGATATTTGTGGTTTCCATCTTCTCACAGAGTCTTCCCAGGAGAGGACTACAGAAAGTAAGAAAGCAGCAGTGACAACTGATGAGTCTTGTTTCCATCCTGAAGTTTTTATCTTGTGTTGAAGCAAGTAACCCTTAGCAGTCTTAGTAGATTAGCAGTGAAGGTAGTGCAGGTAGTCCGTTACCTGCTTTTGGCAGCATATTGCATTGTTAATCCACTATTCATATAGCTGCAAGCAAACCTTCTCATGTGGATAAGCAGCAGTAAGAAGAAAGGAGAAGTCCCAAAAGACATAGAGGATTAAAACACTATTAAGATTTATCCTTGATAAAAGAAGTCAAGAGTCATCAAACACAAAGTTGCTGACACATAATTATGCTTAAGAAAAAGCACAGCTTACCAGAAGCAGGAAGAGCATAGGATGCAAAGGATCACTACGTAACTTCCCTACATAGACTTTCCAAGACTTCCCACCAGACATATGGTGTTGCTAGAGACAAAATATTAAGGCAGATGGACTTCTGATCGAATACATATTCTAATGTTGTCATCATTTATGGTGAAATTTGACAATGTGCCCAACAAAAAGCAAAGCATGGACAGTCCTTAATAAGGCATTTGGGACAGAAAATTGCATGGAGGTGCAGTTTACTCTCTCTTTTGTACTAACTTTTCTCATAGAGGCTTAAATAGTTAGCTAGACGCAGACATTGATGACAGTCTGAGTGAGGGATACCTTCCAGTGAAGTCAGATATCAGCAGATATCATCTCCATCTGCAGATCAGATGTTGCATTGCAACTGGCATCACTAGGTGAGCCACAAATATCACAACAAACACCTAAGTTGACTTGGAAGCTGGCAGCATGGTCCAGTGTTGAGACTCAGTGGTTTTTTTGGTCTCTTCACTGAAACTGCCAAGAAATAAAACCCCCAAAAATAGTTCTGGCTGTGGCGACTAGTTTCTTGGGACATGGAGTGCATGGAGCCCACTTTTAAGCAAGTCATCTTCAATGTCTCGAGACTAGACGTAGATTTGGGATGACAGCATTGTGCTGGAAGTCTGCATGATGTATTGTCACAGCACCACTCTCTGTTATTTATGTCTTCTGGCACTTGAATGCTGCTTCCGCATTTCCAGGCAAGAACATTTCCCTCCGCGCCCACAGTCCTTCTGGCACAGCATGCGCTATGGCCAGCTCCGGATGGAGGCACACCCTGCATTGATTTTCCCATGATCATCCAGACCAGAGCACCTCAAAAAATATGCCAAGAGTCCCTCCATGCCCACAGTCTTGCATTTACCACAGATCTCAGTCCTGGGTTGCAACAAAGGGACCAGATCAGCTGAGTACAATGTGGAAAGCACCTGCCCACTTTCTAGATAAAAATTACCAGAAATACAGTATATTCATAGCTTCCAGGACATCAAAATAACCATCCAAAAGACCTTTTTCTGTTCCTTTTCAGACTGAACTAGATCACTGTGCGTTTACAGCCTACCTCTGTTATTCTTAAAAAAGCTAGGAATATTCTTTCATCCATGGTGTCATTGGAAAGAAGAGTGGGAAAGGTCTTTTGTGTGGCTTTGTGTTGCCCTACACTCTGTTTTACATAGATGATAATGCAGAGAGCCAGGTAGACCAGGAGAACACCTCTTTGCTTGGTCTTTGCAAAGCAGAGCATGGCCATGGTGAGACCATCTTTGCAAGCCGCTGTGAAGACCGTGAGCTTCCTGGGAAGCAAACACAGCATGACTACTTCAGGCTTAGCTTTATTCGGCCTCCTGTGCTCTGAAAGTTTGACCTTTTAGAGGCTGGTACATTGCTGAAGGCTTTCCAATTAGTATGGTCTTGGCAACACTCGGCCGTCTCAAGGAAGTGCTTGGCGTGGTAGAGAACACTGCCTGACACCTCCACTGCAATTTGAGAATTTCCCCATGAGTCATTAAACGCTCCAAACAGGGTACTTTAGAAACAGAGGTCTGTGAAATTTGTGAATATCCAAACTACTTGGAGCTTTAATACAGAAGGTGGAGCCAGTTGTGAAAAGGACACAGAACTGCAAAAATTGTCTGTATGTGTGTAGCCTGGTAATCAAGCTTACAGCTGGGGCTATGCTGAGGGATATTCTTCCTCCTTCTCACTGCCAGGGGAGACTTTTTGGTGTCCACAACACTTAAGTCCTTAGTTTCTCTGTGGATAATGGCAGCAAAGAGAGCAGCCATCTGTGGTATGGTGTCTAGGCTTCTAGAAATGAAATGGTGGTGCTACCCTTCTGCAGAAGACTAAATGTCATCCTTAAGGAGTCAATAAAAGACAATCTGCCAAAACAAATCCAGACTGTGGGTCCTTCACTGGCTACCCAGAGGCCTACAAAGTGGATCCTAGCAAGCCTAGAGGCTTCTCATGACATTGCCTGAAACGCTGACTGGTTTAAAGACAAATAATACAACTAAACACCTAGATTTGGGGGTTCAGGGTGTCTCAAGGGAAGTGTTCTTCACATTTGAAGAAAATCCTGAGGGTACACAAACAGGCTAGTCAGTCACCTGGTCTTTTCAAACTTCTTCTGTGATGTGGAAAGCTGACTGCAGGAAAACATCAGAGGCAGTTCTATGAATGCTGAGAATTTCTGACAAACTGTTCACACATACAACCAAGATACCAGATGTGAAGGAGGCAAATGACTCTGCTAATCTGTAATTTCATCTCCCCAGCTCCACCACCCATCCCAAGGGTTTCGGTTTGGAACCGTGCGAGAAAGCAGCGCAGAAGACTATGTGAGGCAAAGCTTCCCAGAGATGCATGAGTACATGCGACGGTACAATGTCCCTGCAACCCCGGATGGAGTAGCATATCTAAAGTGAGCCTCTGCATGTAACAGTAGATCTGGTCCCTCGACCAGAATGCACAGCAGTGAGATGGTGATGGGTTTCCCACTTTCAGTCTCACTTATCCCATAAGTCAGTCATTGAAAGGAGTGTGGCAGATAGAGAAGAAAGCACCTCGAGGGAGTGATACTTGGAGAGCAAGCTAGCGTAGCACCACGTGGAGTGTTTCCAGGGGAAGCAGTGCTTCACACTAACTGCAAGGGTGCCATCAAGCATGGGCAACATATAAATCCTGGCAGGTTTCTGTGCTTGGGAGCACTTCACCAGGCAGTGAGAAACATTCAGGAAAAAACATCACAGTTCAAGCAAAAGCTGCGAATGAGGTTCCTTAGCATCTTCAGCATGCTGGGAGAAGAGAAGGTTCTCAGAGAGAAACTTTAAAGCATTTATCATTAAAATGAATAAAAGAAGCATTAGACTGGTAAAAAGTAATAAACACCAAATCTTCTTGCTTTATGGAATTGTGGCATCACTGTGTTTCAGAGACGTGTGCCTAACAATCTGGGGTCACACATTTGATTCACTGCCAGGAAACACATAGAAGTTGCATAACAAATGGCCTGAGAATTTTTCACCAGAAGTTGTTTCCTGTTTACGTATTTTTCCCAGACCCATCCTAACAATAATTAAGATACATGGCAGCTCCTTTGTGTTAAACTGGAATCAATCCATCAAAATCAATGAAGTAATGTAACTTCACATCAGGAGCACACCCAGACCTTTAAAGTGACAAGAGTGGAGGGTGCAGTCCTTGAGTGTGATGAGAACAGGCACTGCAACTATTCGTTTATATCATCATTTTATGCAAGTGTGCCATTCATAAATGATTATGTTAGTAAAATTCAGTCCTCTGTGTTCATGAAGACTAAACATAGAGAAAAGCTGATCTGGGTGAAGGAAATTAATTTACCTCATCTTCAAGGAGAAATGAGGAGAAACACCTTTGTATGAATTATCCTCCTGCAATTTTGTTCTAATAAGAAACCAAGACAGCACTAGTATTTTAGCAATTTTTATTTTTTTCCAATAAAGCTTTGTGCTACCTTTCAACTGAGTTGAAGTCTAACATATTGTAGTATTTTCCCTCTTTCAGATCATGAGTACTTCACGGGAGCAAAATAAGTCCTACCCCCGCTGTCCTGCTCTAGATGCACAAAGTTTGTATTTCATGCACAATTCCTTTCTTCAAAATATAAATCAGTTTTGCAGAGTCCCTGGTCTCTGTTTTCACTCAGTAATCTCCCAGAGAACTGCATAGATAAATGTTCAGTGAGCATCACTGAGTCTTAGACTGTGAAGTGATTCTGACTTTGATGTTGAATACAGGCATGATCCAGAGAAACTCGATGCCTTCATCATGGATAAAGCACTCTTAGATTATGAAGTATCAATAGATGCTGACTGCAAGCTTCTAACTGTGGGAAAACCCTTTGCCATTGAAGGTAATAATCAGTTTTATAACATACTGCTCTATTTCTCATGTGTTGCATTTGCTTTATTGTGATTTGGTATTCTCAGTGAAAGTATGCAGGTGAAACTGTGGACCCCTTGAAGATTATAGTAAAATTCTCAGTGATTAAGCAGAACCAAGGTTTCGCTCTTTTTTGTGGTTTTTGAACTTTCAGATCACTTGTACCATCTGTTGCCATGCTCTATATAGGAATTATTCAAAGTGCTGATACGGTCCATCTCCAAACAAGTAGGAGGCACCGTCCATTTCACTGCTCACGATGACATGAAGTAGCTCCTGAAATGAGTCTTGCTTTTTGTAGGCTCACTTTCATGACACGTGTCCAAAACTCACCGGAATATGCTCAAAATGCTGTTCTACAGTTTCACCCTCATCTGAAGCAGATAAATACTGTTCCCATTTTAAAGGTCAGCTTAAGATTCCGGCTGAATCTGTAGCTGACTGAAGCTAAAGAAAGGAGCCTACCCTGGTACGCAGCCTCCTGCAGCCCTGGTGTATTAGCAAGGACAGGTCGGAAGCAAGGCTTGTCTGAAGCTGCCTCCAGCACGGGTGAGCACATTAGCAGCTGTTAGACTTCAGGAATCGCTTTTGTGGTAGATGGCCAATGAAAATGATTGAAGCTCCCTCTTCCCCCCCCTCCAAGGGCAATCACTCTGGCCGCTCCCATCGCACATTAAAACAACCTCCTTCAGAAATGTTCAAACCTGATTGAGGAAGGCAATATGCTAAATGAAGGCCAGAGGAAGCTGAGCATTTTCATCATTTCAGCTACAAGTCACCAGCACGAGGCATTTTGTAAACGCTCCTTTTTGCTATACCTCATCAGTGTCTCCCATGTGAATTCACACCAGAGACCTGAAAGCAATTCATTTTCTTCTTTTCTTTTTGTTATCGGGGAGGATAGATGCACAGAGAGCTGTTCAGGCTGTAGCAGGATTTGTGTGTGTGCAGCTGCACGTTTCACCATGCGCGTGCAATCTGATAAATCTCCCATTTCAGAAAGGGGAGATACTTACTCTACCGAAGTAACCCATCAGCTTCCACAACTTTGAATGAAGTAAAGCAAATTTCAATACAGAAAAAACAAATAAACCCCAAACTATATGTTTTTACATAACTGGACTTCATATCACCTAATTACTAAACACTTAAATATGCTGAAAATGTGGTATTCATCGTATGCCTTCTCTGAAACCATTCCTTTAATGTTAGCAAATATATTCAGGTGGAAATACAGGCACAATGTACAAAAATCAGCAGCAAGGGAGACTGTTGCATTGTAGGTACGCATATCACCACATCACTCTGCATCATTGAAAACCAAGCCACTGTGATGGCAAATTTACCATTCATGTACATTTATGGGGTTTTTTTTTTCCTTTCTTCCTGTGGTTTTTTTTTTTTTTTTTTTTTTTTAAGGACACAGTCTGAAATTCTGATTTCTGAACTGAAAAATAAAAATCCACAGTGGACTAGAAAGGAATCTCCACAGGCAATTGGCAGGACATCTCTGCATGCAACTGCATGTCTTCCAGGCATGAATTGTATTTGTTTTTCTAAAGTCAAAACCCAGATTCTGCAAATTGAAAGACCATATTTAGAGTTACTGAATTCATTTTCGCTTGCACTAAGTCCTTTACCAGCACTTTAACATGGTAAAAGACAACAGAGTGGCTAAAAACTGTATTTATTACTATCTGAAGGTCCACGTCACTGCCAGAGCAGAACTGCACAAATGGAAAGCGTAGCCCCTGGACTTTAAATTTCTGTATGACAACAGTACAGACTGCGCCCATATACATTTACATTCACACAGCTTCTCATCAGAAGATACACAGGAAGAAAAGAAAATGTCACATGTGACACCAGTTACATCCACTGATCTAAAAATGTAAAGGAATCACAGAATGGTTTACTTGACATTAAGGCCCTTTTGCATTGCTAAAACAAGGTGAAAAAGAAGAACCCATGGCTAGGGCATGCAAAAGGCTGTGTTTCTAGAGATAAAACAGATTTATTCATCTATCTGTACCTCCATAATAAGTTTTTGAACCTCCAATTTTACATATTACTTTTCTGGCCTTAATAATTTTGAATTTGCATATCCTGCCTGTATTAGGCTACTTTATTTTGCACAGCAAAAAGTCTCATCACAGCATTCTCAGTCCATGGTAAGCCAGCATCCAGGTTTCAACTGGCTTGCTGAAACAGAATGCCAACTTGATCTGCCACGCTGGTAGTTGATAGTTGAAATGAACATACTTTAGCAAAAAGCAAACAAGTAAGAGAGAGATGATTGTACTGGTTTTCCTTCTAGGATATGGTATTGGTCTTCCGCCCAACTCTCCACTCACCTCAAACATCTCTGACCTGATAAGCCAGTACAAGTCCCACGGTTTCATGGATGTTCTGCACGACAAATGGTACAAGGTTGTTCCATGTGGGAAAAGAAGCTTTGCTGTCACGGAGGTAAGCGATGAACTTGGGTCACATAAATGAGGATTTGTTCAAGTTGCCAATTATTTGCCCTCATTCACAATGTGCAGTAGATATACACACATGACAGAGATGGGCTGCAGCGGAAGAGAAGCATTAGGCTTCAAAAGCAAGAGATGCTAAGCCCAGCAGCATTCAGATCAGAGCACAATAAAAACATCAAGAAGACTGTGCTGTTAAGTTAGGCATGCAGTGCATGCATCAGAGCGCACTTCTGGAGACAAACAGGGCATGTAACGTAGCATTAAAAAAAGTCATCTGGCACACTGCACAACAAATCGATCTGATTCCACTCTGTTATGTGTATCACTGTCTACAGGATCTGTCAGTGATTCTGGACCATCTCACATGGGAGCAATAGCTAAAATAGCTAACACAGAGACCAACAAGAGCAGAAGAAGCAGAGAGAGTGGGAATTTAGTACATCCCAAATTTCTAATATAACCCTGACCACTTCCTAACATGGGTGGCAGCTACTTGTACCGAAGATAGGACTTCAGCCTAGAAACGGCCCACTAAGGTACCATGCTAAGAACAGAAGAGAAGCAGGTCTCGTGTCTAAGTAGAACTACAGGAAATGGAAGTAAATCTCCATGGTTTTATGTCCTAGTATCAAATCAGAGGAGTTATGCCTGCTTCTGGCAGCTGAAGATGTATGCCATTATTTATAAGAAAAAGACTCCTTTTATCAGAATAGCAGTTTTTCGTCAAGTTCCCTAGTCTGCCAAGTAAAAAAAGATAAAGTACTAAGGAATCAAAAGATCCAGCATGCCTGAAGCTTAGAGCATACACACTTTTAGCTGAAGGTGTTCCAAAAGACATAGGTTACGTGTTCTCACTGCTACAAAACATGTAGCTCTAAGTATGCTGTCTCCTCCTCAGAGTGTTCAGCCAAATATCAAAGCAACCCTATGCGTTCCCCAAAGAAGTGGTAGCATGGCCATGCTCCCCTAAAAAAGAAGCCCAGTTTCCTAGGGCTCACTCCTGCCCTTCAGTGGTCACCCGAGCCTCTTGTCTGCAAACCTCTCACTGCTCACTAAATCACTAGAAAAATTGCATTTTTTAGGGATCAGACAAAGAAAAACTTCATTTGACTGCTTTAATACATAGATTGTTGGGCTATTTCTGCATCTCTTATTACATTTTTAACTTTTTCATTAAGATTGTGCCAATATGAAATAAATTATATTTTAACACCAGACAATCATAGAAGAAAATTCAATTTATTTTTATTCAACTTGTTCAATTCAATTTTTTCTTTTTTTGTGTGATTAATTCAACACAAGAAAGCACGTTTAAACAAAAGTGTGTATTCACTGCTATTTCTGATCTAGCTTATCTGAAGATTATATTATCATCTAACAAGACAGGCATCTGGGGAATTTTCTTTATAATGTAGCTGACATACCTGTTCCTGACAAGTACTTCATTCAATGACCTCTTATTACTCTACATTTTAACACAATCTTTTGAATTAAATCTCAGGAAAATTGCCAGATGGTAATGGTATTAATTACCACAACTGTCTTAAAACTGGAAACTCTTATAGCAGAGACAAACTTACCTTCTTAGTAAATCCCCAGTGATGAGTTATAAGGAGCTTCCTCTGATCATGATAATCTTACTCCAGTAGCTGTATCCAGGACTGTATTCTCTGTATTCCTAGAGAAACAGCTAAGACACAGAATCAATTCTAAACACCTTCCAGTTAAAAAATATGGTTTTACTTAGCACTGGTTTTCTCCCAGAATATATATTTGCTCCTTTAAGCCAGTGGTCTCTAGAGTGGGGTGCATACAGCTCCTGGGGGTGCATGAGACGATCCACTGGGTTGCAGGAAGAAAATACTAGAACTTGAGTAATACATATATGTATGTATAGATATATAACGTTATAAATAAATATACATATATGGGGTGCATGCTCAAAAAGTTACTGATAGAAGTGCGCGATCAAAAAAAGTTTGGAGACCACTGCTTTAAGCCATAGGATCTCAAGACTGTCTCTAGAAACAGGAACTTTTTTTTCTGCCATAGAAATACAGTAATAGAGAAAATAAGCGCTGGCTGGGCAAACTGCAGAAGGCATATTACAAAACCAATTGGATTTGTCTTTTTGTGAAGAAAAGCAAACATGAGCAAAGATAGAATAAACCTTGCTTTCACATGGGAGAGGAAAAAATCTGATAAGCAGTCTGTCATTTTTGCAGTTACTCTTCTGAAAGGCCTTTGCAATTTAAAAATATGAGGAAAGACCATACCATTTTCCTGCACAGCTATAGCTAGTACATTATCTCTGAGGCAAACCCAGTTCTTTCACCTCTCTAGATTTTCATTAACTCCTTCATGTTCAGTGATGCAATACTGAGAGTCACTGGTTTCCAGGTAAGCCTTAAACTTCCCTGTGTTCATGGCATGAAAAAACAATGACATGGTTTAAGTACTCAAAGATTCCTCAAGGCCTGCCAACAAAGGGAGGGGAGGTGGGAAAAAAGCTGCTCCAGTCTGAAAAGAAAATTCTGATTTTTTCATGTGAATAGTCCCATGGACGTGTAACCTCCACGTGATGTCCAGAAAGGAAGGCAGGTCTAGCTGCTCTGGGACTGGTTATCTGACTGTAGTCCTTATTTGAGCTTCAGTTGTGCTAACCCAACATGCATAACTGGGTTTTCTCTAGAGGCCAAGGTCCAACAAGCTGGCTCAGGTGAGTGAACTGAAGGACTCTAAAAAGTCACTCAAAGACTTTGTCTTTGAACAAATCTTCACGTACTCAAAGGCCTTATGCAATCAGAAAGAGTGAGCAGAAACAAAAGACCACTTGTAAGTCTGTGCCGTTGTGGGGTAAGCTCTGCTAAGTCCAGACCTTCCTTTTTCTGAATTCTTCTACCACATCTCCCATGAGCATCCCCCCTCCTCTTCATCCGCTCCTCTTGGCCAAAACTTGCAGATTTTAGAACTTGCAATTTCACAGTTGAGACAAATTTACTAAACTGAACAGGGCCAAGCAACAGACACTCTCTAAAGCATAGTTTCCCCATCATTACGTCAAGAAGCATAGGAATTTTTCCTGGTCTTATCTTTATGTCAGTTTATATCCTTTACTCTTGTACAGCCCAGAAATCTCCATTATTTAACTCCATGCAGTCAGTCACAGTGACATTCAACAGATTCACTGAAATGTGGACAATGTTCCACACAGAAGCAGGTAATTCATTTTTTAAAAAGTCTCAGCTCCTAAGTGGGTAGTCATTCACATGGATTATATACCAAACTAAGACCCAGCAATTGCCTTTTGATAGCTAGAGTATAGCTTTGTATTTTTCTACATCTTTTTGATAAATTTGGTCTGTGACACACTGCACCTGTTCACCAAGAGTAATGACCCAAAAAAGGGAATACACGTAGGTGAAATATTGATCAGTATAGCCTTTAAATGGGTGAAATACCCGTCTTCCTTTTTTGTCATTACCTCTTTAGGCCGTTCCTGATTCTTATACACCTGCCACTCCTGCCCACCGAGGTTAATTTTTCTTTAGATTTGTTTTGAGATTCTTCTTCCTCCTCAGAATTTTTTTCTAATCTTACACTGGGAAATTATATTTCCTGTGGCAGAATTCACTGCTACCTTTTTCCATCTCTCACTATGCGGCAGCACTTTGCTCATTCTAAATTGCATTTGAAAACAAAGTTGTCTTGGAAAGGCATGATCCAGACTGGGGCTGGAAAATTTGCAGTGACTCCTCAAGCTGAGAAACCAGATAAAGACAAGATTGAAAGTGCAGAGGTCAGTAGGGCTTGACTCCACTGTTTTGTATGAACCTCTTCAGCAAATGCACTTGCCCAAGACACCTTACTCTGGCCAGCACCCATTGGATCATTCATGGGGTATGCAGCTAACTCAAACTTGGAATGAATTGCTGCATTGATTGCATCTTACCCTCTCCACCACAAGTAATTGTTGGTAGCAGTGGCTGTTCACACCGATTGCTAGTCACTAGCAATATCGCCTGAGTACTCTTGATTTAAAATTGTCATACTCTAGTCTCAAAGGAATTTCTTTGTTGTAAATTTGCTAAGTCCCTACTTAGGGTAGAGCATAATGCAGGAGGGCAGTGGGGTTGGCAGAGTTACATTTGCACATATTACATCTGGACATAATCAGTGTCATTCGTTTTCAATTTGCATACAATACACTTGGCCCTTCCTCTACCCTACTGTTGTTCTCATTAATGCCGCTTCAGAAGGAGCCAGGCTGCTAGGACTTTCCCCTCAGCACATTAGTTCCACCCAAGCTC